ACTGATGGAAACTACTTTGAAACTTTAAAAAAACATGAAATTTTCAACATAATAAACCAAAATTACTGTTACATTTCAAAAAAAATCTGTACAATGCTAGAAAGCCTAAATGTCTCACTTTGCCTCGGTGTCTCGTTTTGCCTCAGGTTACCCTAATTCAAGATTACAGTGCCATTATTTACAACAACCAAAATAGTGATGAAGTAATTCAGAAGCACTGAGAAAGTTTACTATGAGTTCTTGGAGGTGTCTCTAAAAAGTTTGTATTTTAGTCTTTTTTTGAATTTTTTTTAAGTGGCCATTTCATATTCGAGGTGCATTCATAGAAAAAAATTTGATCCTAAGGAGTTTTTGATATACGACGAGTAAGTTGACAACTCTCTGACGATCTTTTGCCTTGTTTTGAAACTCGCGTTTCTAAAAGTTCGAATAGATATGCAGGAGATTTAGTATTTAATGTTTTATATGTAATAACTGATAGTTTATAAACATTCGTTGATGGATTGGTAACCAATGAAAAGATTTTAGCAACTTTTCTGATTTTGATTTCTTATTTAATGTTTTATATGTAATAACTGATAGTTTATAAACATTCGTTGATGGATTGGTAACCAATGAAAAGATTTTAGCAACTTTTCTGATTTTGAATAAATAGGAGAATGAGAGACAATGCGAGATAAACTATTTTGAGTACGTTGGAGTTTTTTAAGATTTTTTTATAAGAACCTGATAAAAGACTTTTACAATAGTCAAGTTGAGAGTTAATAATGCCACAAGCTATTGTGTCAGCTACTTTTTTGGTAAGACAGTGACAAATGTGGCGAAGATCACGAATATGTTAGTTACAGGATTTTACAGTGTTGTTTATATGTTGGTCTAAGGAGAGAGTTGAATATAGGGTGACACCTAGGATTCTCACCAAATTTACTGCACTTAGTGTTGTTCCAGAGAATGTAATTTAAGAATCATTTTAAAATTTTCAGATTTATTTCCTAGATCCAAATAAGATAGCCTCTGTTTTGTTTGGGTTAAGTAAAAATCCTCTCTCTAGAAACCATTTTGTGACTGCATTAGCACATTCAGTGATTTTATTAATGTTAACTTTTCCTGGGTTAATTAAAGTATATAATTGGATGTTATCGGCATATTGATGATTTGTGCCATGTTTAGCTATAATACGACATACAGGTGAAACACATTGAAAATAAAAATTATATAAGTTAGACAAATATAAATATGTCTCTTTATTTAATAGTTTATATAAATAATTTTTTACAAAACATATAATATGATATTTAGCTCAATATAATACTTTGAGTTGTTTTATAGAGAGAAAAAGAAAGTAATGTCAAGATATGGTAATCAAACATGTGTTTGGGTGTTGATGGTAAAGATGATAAAAATGTTCTTCGATTTAAGGATGTCGTTGAAAATGGAGAAACTGAGAGTTACTGAAAAGAAAACTCGCTTGTTGAGAGTTACTGAAAAGAAAAATTGGTGAACTAAACAACGCAAGATGGTTGACTTTAGCAATTCGAATCATGGCTTTGTATACTTGTACTGAAGCACCAAGTCTAGATCATGTAAGGCTTGTGAACGTTATTGTACAAGTATATGCATACATTTGGTTACTTATCAAAAGGTCTTCTAATTTTACGGATTCTCCAAGTATATTCTTCAAAATGACGGAACAGATAAAGAAGCAAAATGAGAAAATACAAAATATTTGTTTTAAAAATCTAAAAAAAATGCATATTGTCTATTACCTGAGAACTTTTTATATTGTGTGCTTGCAGATGAAGATTCTAACATAAGGGAACAGGCGTTACTAGTCATTAAAAAACTCAGGACAAGTAAAGATAAAGAATGTCGGGTTTCAAATATTGCTCGTGTTAACTTAAACTTTCAAGCAACTTCATGGACAGAATTAATTGACTTTAAGAAAAGCAGTGAATCAGCATCAACAATATGGTTGAAGGATCACGAAATCAATTCACTAATTGCAACTAAAGAAGTTACAAACTTGCCTGAATTTTCTTCTCATGCGTCGAGCGTAGAACGTGCTGTCAAATTAGTTACAGAGGCTATTCACCAAGTATATGGCAGTGAAGCTCGTCATAAATATATTTTGGCTAAACTAAAATCCAGGAAAATTTGACCATTTTTTAAAACTAAAAACGGTTTTGTGGTTTTTTAATAAATAATTTTGTTATGCATTTGATGATAATAAAACATCTTTATATGAATATAATGGCTTTTATTTTTTTGAATGCGAGGAATATAAAAATGTATTTAGGATTTAGGACCAATGCAGTGGTAAAGTGTTCAAATCACATTTGCAAGATATCTATTTTAGAAATATTTGCATATGCAATTGAAATCTTGATAAACACTTATATTCATGAATTTAAGTGTTTACAGTGTTAAAAACAATAAAAAAAAATTTAAAAACATGTTTAGATTTTGGTGATGGTTATCCATGACTACTTTTATTAACCGTTTATTAAGTTGAATCGAGCTTAAATACGATTGTTTTATTTAATTACAATCGTTAATAAAATGTTTTTCACTATTTTATAATATAACCACTGTTTTCGAATAAAAAATTAAGCACTTCAGAGGTCATAGAAATAATTTTTGAAGGTTTCTCCAAATAGTTTATTGGTCGCAGACCTTCAGCCTTATCTAAATTAGATATTTTAAACCAAGTGGGTTCACATATCAATTATGTTTAAAGTATTCAGTCAAAATTAAATTGTGTATTTTATTAATCCTTTATTCATATCTGTTAGTTATAAATTACTTACATCTTGGATAATCTTAAGGTCAAAATTACTCAAGTTGTTTATAAGCACTTTCAAGACATATATAACTATAATTATATAAATCCTTTATTATATAATTATATAAAGTCTTCAACTAATTATACTTTAAAAAACTAAAAATAATTTACATAACTAAACTTTGCATATACAGTTTATTTATGAAAGTAATTTTAAGTTTACTAAAACTAATTGTATTTTTTATTAATAGTTGCGCGTTAAAATGAGGTATAAAATCTAGCTAAAAATAAATCGAATATTTAAATGCGTAGCGGAGGATGGGGTATTGGCGAACACATAAGCGGGAATGAGAATTAAAGACACCAGTTATACAAAATTGATTATATTTATTGCTTATCAATTAGTTTAACTATTCAGTTACAAACCCTCTAAAGCAATTTTTATAAATTTTATTATAAAATAAAAACTTATGACAAAAATAAAACCATTGGTGTTCGGAATTACCTTACGTACGTGGAATAATTCCGAACGAATCGGGGGGCAATCACAATTACTGTTGTGTATAAAGAATAAAATGCTAATTGTAATACCTAAATCTAAAAATTATATTATGCAACAACAACAACAAAAAAAAGGAGTGGCTTTGTTTCTATAGAAACTACAAAAGAATGTTGCTTAGGAAAAAAGTTGCATAAAATTAATAGGAAATTTAAAATCAAATTATACAGTGGAAAAAAAATTGTGTAGAAATGCTACACAAATTGTGTAGTTTTGTACACAATAATTGAGTTAAAATGGCAACAACACAAATTTGTGTTATGAGGTACACAATAAATGTGTAGTTATATATTTCTACACAAAATAGCGTGAAAAGTATACACATTGATTGTGTCGCTTGCACACATTTTTGTGTATACAAACTACACATTATAGTGTGTACTTTAGTTCAACAAATGTGTAGTTTTCACACATTATTTGTGTGCATAGTAGCACATTTTTTGTGTTATTTATTACACATTTTTGTGTTAATTATTACACATTTTTGGTGTTTTTCTTCTGCTCTGTATGATAACTACATAATAAATGTATTTGAAGTAAATGCGCAATTAACTGGTCTACATGTATAATTGAATACAAAGCAAACGTCATTTTGCAATACAAAACAGAATTTTTCGCTCTTAAGTGCTATAGTCAAAACAATATCTGCAAAAATGCAAATATACAAGTCTTTATTCTAAAACATTCACATAACATAATAGCCTTTGTGTGATTGAAATAATTCTTCATCAACTAGGCTATACATCAACACAAACTAACCAAAATAGTACAATTTCACATTTAGCACCGAAGAGGTAAAAAAAATTGAAAATGTGTTTATGAGCATATGAAATAATGTAAAAGTATACAATCATATACCATACACATTCAAGTGCATGTGTGTGTAATGCCTATACATGTTTGCAAAATATTCGAGTCTTTAAGCACACAACACATTATTGCTAAACACTGCATCATCTTAATATGCATAAACATGTCAATAAACAAACTATTAAGCACATTGAAAGCACGATATGAATTCAAATGCAACAATGTACAAGAAACACCAAAAATGAGTTACTCAGTAATTTTAAAAAATGACAGTTAGCACCAATTGTCATTTTGACTAGACATTGTCTAACTGCATTACATCTTTATCATTACGTCTTTCACTGAGTATAAAATATAAGCACATTAAAAGGAACCATATAATATTGCACGCTATGAATTCAAACACAACAGTGAACAAGAAACACAAAAAATGAATTACTCAGTAATTCAAAAAATGACAGTTAGCACCTGATGTCATATTGACTAGCGTTCTCTAACTGCATTACACCATTTATCATTACACGTTTTACTAAGTTAACAATAAGAGTTATGTAACATTTTTTCCATATTAGCCTATTAATGACCAGGAGTGCATTTAAATACTCCTGTTATGACTCATATCACCTAATTGCAATAATTTTTTGAAGTTTATAAAATTAAAGTGATTATGACACCGTACTTAAACCTTGTGATAAAAAAACTAAGCAATTTTTATGATACAGACAAATCTTTAAGTAACGTAGTTGCTTTGGCGCAGAGAGTTTGCTTTTCATTTCAAACATATATACCTCAAGAAAATAAGACATAAGCTGAGATGGATATCTGACATTAAAAACAAAAAACGTTGAAAATAAATCTGAAAGAGCATTAGCAGCTTTCGATGGCTTCACTAACAAGGCACGACCATCACAGATAGTATAATAGGATGCTTACTCAGTAGCACCCATTTTTAAAATGTACGGCTGAAACCTTTCGAGCTTTTTGTTCTCTTGCTGGCAAGATTCCAAGTATGCTTCCAAACTATCACCGATCTGGTAAAAAAAGATTAATAAATAATGTTTTGAATCCTACTTTATAAAAAACCAATTAGTGGTTGTTTTGAAATTGATAGCAAATAAGCTAAAACCATTGTTTTAGTTTATCATATAAAATGCATTTAAACTATTATTATTATTATTATTATTATTACATGCAAACGATAATATACAATGATCATTAACATCGACTTACTTTTATCTCGTTGATGAAATTTTGGCGGGCATTTTTAGCTGATGTCCGATGCTTTCCCATGGTAGGTAGCATGTCCAGCAAACATAGCAACGCATTGTAACACGTTGCATCTAATAACAAATAAATAGTTTTTTTTTTACATACTTTTACAATAATTTAAACTGCTTACACACAAGTACAATCCTGAATAATTAAATTTTGTACCTGCGGTGAAATTTTCAAAGTTCTGCGTTAGGTCAAGGGATTTGCCTTGACCAACACAATAACGAAACAGTTTGAGAGCGAGGTTGCTTTCAAAGCATGCTGCTGGATCTTCTCTTGGACTAGCAGCCATACTTTTGAAATCTTGTTGTACCTTAAAGTCATATGATCGATTATTTTACAGAAACCACCAGTTAATAAAACTAGTTTTGCTAATATGTATGCAGACAAATAGAATGAACATTGATATATATCAACACTAAGCATTCTTTTAGTGATTTTATCAAGCAACAATAATGAAAGTCGTATGTAGGATTTTGCATAGCTATAATAAAATACTTGAAATAAATGTAATGAAATTCTTCGATAGAAACGAAAAGAATTTTGGATATAATTAAGTTTATTTATTATTTTATTGGGTGTATATCTGCAAAATTAGGCTATGTATGAGTTATTTTTTGCTTTTCAATGTTCTTGAAAACAGAAACTTACTAAGCCAGGCACATCTATAAAACGAGGGTATTTCAGAAGGATCTGTGCCATTTTAGGTCCAGCAGAACCTCCACCCCCTTTTATCCAACTCTGCCGATAACTGCACGTTTCAGCCATTAACGTATAGATTTTTCTACGTTGGCCGATAATGGTACCAAATTCTTAGGCATGACCGTTTTTAATTCGGCATCCTCGCTAAACACCTCTAATTGGTCAGCCGCTTGAACCACACTATCGTTGACTGCTGTACATAAAAATAAATGCAATAAAACAGACTGATAAAATTGATCAACAGCTGCATATTTAGCTATAGATTTACTTAATAGATTAACAGCTGCACATGTATCTATAACTTACTCAAGCCTAATTTGTTCACTAACGCAATCGTACACTTAATTATAAGAAAACAATTACATACATAGTTTGTATCTTTGGCGATATTTTCGTTGCTGCTGAGGGAGTTGGCGTTGAATCTACCTAAACCGGTTTTGTATAAAACCTGTCCCATCTGATGAGTAATAATGTTCCTTGATAAAAAAAAAAAACAGTTCACTGCTTAAATTTGTATTGAATGTATAAAAACAACAATTTTGACTTTGGATGATGGTACAGATATCGATGATGATAAAATTGTGCAATATTTAAATCCCGGCGCAATAGTCTATGCTTTAAATGCTGATGAAGCTATCAAAAGCTTGGCAACAACATTATCTATAATACCCGGCACACTAGACAACACATTCGAACCATTGCAGACTTCTACACCAGAAACCAGCATGACTAGCATAACTTCAGCAGATATCAAAACCAAGCTTTTGGGCAGCTACATAAAGAAATTTTACATAGCCTAATAATAAAAAGTGAAATGAACAAAATTGAAATTACAGAAATTGGATTCATAATTGTCGTTTGATTTTACACAGCAGGTTATACAACTCGTACGATATGAACTAATCTTAGTGAATTAACAAAAACAAAAATGAATGCACATACAAAGCCGATAACAATGCATAATAAAATTTGAAGATGAAATGCTTTTTCAGAAATGCTACTTACAACTGCATGACGAAAAGCAACAAATGAATACTTCGACCTCGTGCCAGAAATAGTATGCAAAGCTAATGGATAATAGTCTAACAATTCATCATACACTTTTTCCACAATCATCATCTTCAACTGCAAAAGCATGATAATGACATAATAATTAGTGTTCAGTTCTTGGCAAACAAAATAAATGCCACCATCAGTTAAAGTAAACTCATCAATAAGTACAAATTTGAGACACTCATCCATCTGTCTACCAACAACTAAAACATCTCCACTGAAATAATCCGTACCATTAATCATTGTATGTCTACAAACATAAACTTCATCCAACATCAGCCAAGTCAAACACTGATGAATTTGTTGTTTAAGAGCTACAGTTTTACACACATTTTTGAAACTTGTAGCTGATTTTTTCAACTGATTATGTTTGGCCTCAAACCGCATACACCAATATCGACACGCCGGACCAGACTTTAGAAGACAAGCAGGATAATGAACTAAATTATGAAATTTAGGTGTCAATCATTTTGTTGGAAATAACTCCCTGTTCATTGTGTGGTGATCAAATATAAGTTGATCTAAATATGAAATCATGCCATGCGATATCTTAGGACACAAAATAAAGTCTATAATCTCCATTAAAAGAGTGACCAACCGCCAATAAGTATTTTCACAGTCTATAAGATCTCCAAGTTTTAAACCAATAAGTCTACTTAAACACAGATATTGAGCAGCACGCTGACCCAGAAGATTATCACCTGACTTCAATTTTTCTAAAGTTATTCAAGACGGCTTATCTCTCTTTTTATGTATGGCATAATAAAATGCTTTCAGTCGAGAATTGAGCTGATTACATGTGAAAACTTTATCGACAATAATAAGCTGGTATAAAACTGATTTTAAAACATAGTCAGTAACTTTAAAATAATGCAAATCATTAAAGGGTGATTGTCGCTTTACACCAGTATATCTTGTGTTGCAGTCTTGCACGTCTTTTTTATGCAGTTCAGCAGTTCTTGGTTCAAAATTTCTGGCTCGGTGGTGATCTTGAATGCTTTCAACAGTTGCGTAACACAATCGACATATACAACCAAAAGTAAAACTCTCTTGGAAACCTAACATTCTATGAGCACCACTAATTGTCAGCCGAAAACAAAACAACAGTGCCCTTAACTGTCTGACATGCTTTACCGAGCACAATTTCAATACCCTTTATTTCTAATGTTTTAATATCTTTAATCATTTCTTCAAGAACTGGTTCATATCCACGCGTAGTTTTTGTATCTTCTGTATAAAAAAGACATACCAGATGAATATGCATGAGGCGGAAGTTTAAATAGGATGACAAGTTCTGTATCATCATATAGACTGCACCTAGTTTGTGAATTTTTGTTTTCGAGCCTAACGGATTAACGGTTTCAAAATCGTCGAAATATAAATGTAACTGTACGGCATCCGAATTTTCTATAAACAGTTGACATTCTTTGAAACGAGAAGCATCGCTAAAGTCACTTACAAATTATTTGTGTTCCTTTGTTGTTTTTTTAAGATGTCATACATATAGCTATAAACAAATCTAATTGTCTGATGAATTGGTATATACTGGTATGTATTAGGAATAGGATATTGACATATTTTGCCAGTTTCCTTATCCAAACGGGATTCATAAAGAACAGATATTGGACGTCCAATCGGCTTAACAAATTTCATATGATTTTTAAAGTGTTTCAATTGCTGTTCAAAGTTTCCTACTTCTTTCAAAGTTGGCTTATTATTTTAATTTTCTTGAATTACTGATTCAAGTTGAGTTTTGGTTGGGGATATATGAACTGCATCTAAATTATTTGCAACATTCTTTAATTTATCAGAAAACACTTGACACAGCCCCTCTAATAAATCGGTAAATCCCTCCTGTATAATATCTAAGCACCTATACTTAGCATAAACTTTAAACAGTAGCTGTCTTAGCTGTTCCTTAAAGTCGGTAACTTTACCATTTTCAGGCTCTTCTACTTGCTCACTCATTTCAATTTCATCACACAGATTTTCTGGTTCATTATCAACTGTTTTTTGTTCCATGGAGCTTGCATCTGTCAAAGTAAGCTTATTCTTTCTACGTAAATGAGTCGATAATGAGCTTAAGCTATCAAAATATCTCATACAGCTATCTTGTCCACAATGAAGTGCTACTTTATCATATTTAGCTAAACTATGTCTCAAGTAAAAATATGTTAAAAAGTTCTTAATTGTAAAAGCATCAATACTTTTTCTACATAAACAGCAGTAATAGCCCATTGTTTCGTGTAGAAGAAACCTAATTGTTTGCACCTTCTATTTGAGATGAAGGTGCAAACAATTTAATTAGTGATTACAATTATAATTGCAGTGTATAGAGTGATAATAGAGTTAAACTTCTTCTTAACAATATGCAACTATGCAACTATTAAACTAATTTGACAAAAATACAAATTAAAACATGACTTATCTAATAGTTTTGAAGTAATACGACGCACAGTGAAAGTAAACAGAAATCTTAGAAAGACTTGCTACTTATGACAGTATTCATTAGCAACACAAATTCTGATTTCTGATTAAAAATGTAATTAAATATAAATTGGTATTTGACCAAGAGCTATTTTACAGTTTATGTAATAACATTAATTATCGCTCATGCAAAAAAATTTCTAGAAATCAAATAAGTTTATATATTTAATTAGCATCAAATACAATGTATTACGCAAATATTTGAATAATCATTTACATTTGCCTTAGTTACATTTACACAATTGTATCTATTATATTTGTGCACCAATTAATGCAGCATGTATATTGAGTGAAAGTATAGAAATGTGAATAAAGAACAGCAAATAAAAACAAAAGATTTAACTACTCTTTTATATTATAACATTATAACACCAAGGTATTATTTTTAAACATATTGTGACTAAAAATGCTTCTTACCGAAAAAAACAAAAATATTTCTTTTCTTCTCTTTGTTCGAACTTCGAAATCGATTTTCCTCCAAAACGAAACCGCAAACACGCACGTGTCTTATTAAAATGGCGGCTACACAATTTTGTGTTAATTCTACGCATCTTTATGTGAAAATAAAACTACACAAATTTTTGTGTATCAAATAGGGTTGTTAAGCGGAGGATTTCGTGCAATTCCGGAAAAACAACATTCTTTCGTAAGGAGATTGAGAACGAGGAATTACATTTTTTCGTACCGAATGTTACAAAACATTTAAAATCGCCGATGTTCATTTCGCAAAAGCCACTTCCGAAATTTAGCATTTCGCAAGTTGACATACGAAACAAAACTATTTTGCAACATACGAAAGTAGCGGATTCGGAAGTCGCACTTGCGAAACAAACATTTTTGCCAAACGACGTTTTGAAGTCTATTAAGAAAATTTGTTTGCCAGACTGATTTTAATTGTAAAAATTAACATCTTTAAATCCCAAAATATTTATAATGAATTTTTATTTTCAGTATAATAACATATTAAATTTTTATGGTTTTATTTTTAGAAATATTGATGAAAAATAAAATTTCTTTCGAAACGAAAGAATTTCGGATCACAACATGCGAAAGAATTCTTAACGGAAATAAACTTACGAAACGTGCCATAATAAATATATATAACGATGTTTTTTGAACTCATTACGTATATTAAAAATAAGAATGATAGGTAGGAATATACATGTTTTTTTTTTTTAAAAGCATATAAAATTTTTGAAATAGGTTCGAATATGCTTAAGCAAATAGTAAAAAGAGGCTCAAAAATATGCTTTAGCTTAAGCATATTTCTGATAAAATATACCTATTTCAGTAATTTCTAAAAGTGTGCACGTTACTAAAGTTCTAGCAGATTTTAAAGGTATGTAGAGTCCTGTTTGAATACGCTTTTTGAAGTATAGATCTTAGAAAATATTTTTTTTTAATTTTAATAAGATATAAATTTAAGTATAAGATCGTATAGTTCAATTAGTTAGATACGTGATAATTCGCCGCAGAGATCCGGGTTCGCACCCCGCAGCCATTGTAACTTTTGTTCATCAAACTCTTTTTACTTAAGATAGCATTTTTTGACCTCCATGTTCTATATTACAGATCTTTTGTTACCTTCATAATAGTGACAACCTCTCTTCTGTTAGTTATTCTTTTAAGATTGAGTTCATTGTGCTTAATTCTACACGTTTCCCTTGCTTTACTAAGTTCTACTTAAATTATGATGAAATGTACGTAAAACAATCTTATCAAATAAAATAAATCATTTTGCTTTAAATATTGTGCTTTTTGTACTCGACATCTGTCCTAAACACTTTGTAATAATTTCTAGCTAACTCTGAGTCTAATATAATCATTACTGAATATAATTTCCCTGAGGCTCCCACAGCCTATTGTGTTCCATTAAAAGTAACTAGTTTTCGAGTCCAGATATTATTTATAAGCAACTAAAGGTTCACATTACTATTTATTTTCCTGATATATAGAATTCTATTTGCATACGTATCTCTTTCTGTAAATTCTGTTTTATATAGTTTCTTAATATATAAATAAATAAATATAATAAATAAATATTACTATTCACTTAGTTGAATGAACGTATAGCTCATTCAGTTAAGACATTTGGCCGCGGAGACCCAGGTTCACATCCCGCTGTTTCACATATATTTCTTCTCTTTTTACTCTTTCTGATATCATTTACCTTTAGAGAGATCTCTCGTTCTTTATAATAAAGTATTTAATTGTTTATCACACATCCTCTTTATACTTTTTAAAACGAAAGGCATACTGTTTATTTGTATCTGCAACGTTGCAATGACCTCATTTTTGTTTTAGTTTTTATGAATGGAGCTGTCCATTAATTACGTCAACAAATTTTTTGAAATTTTTACCTCCCCCCTCCCTTTTGTCAACAACTTGTCAAATTTCTAGAGACCCGCCCTATAAAATTACGTCAATTTTTGATTTCCCCCCTCCTATACAAAGAAGCTACGCTACAAATTTTTCGTTATTTAAGCGATGAAACTCAAAAAAAAAAATTGTTGGTTGACCTCCCCCCCTCCCCATTATCAACAGCTGTCAAATATATATATATGTATATATATATATGTATATATATATATATATATATATATATATATATATATATATATATATATATATATATATATATATATATATATATATTTATATATATATATATATATATATATATATATATATATATATATATATATATATATATATATATATATATATATATATATATATATATATACATTGTTCAAGTGACATATATATTTATATACATATATTGTTTAAGTGATATAGCTTAAAAATTTTTTTGAAAATGTAAACCAAAATTAAACAAATTTTAAATTCTAGATTATATTGTTTTAAAAGCCTTTTAGGTAGGTAAATAGTGGGTAAGAAAAGATTACTTTTTGCGAGCCAGTTTCTCTCGAGGATATAAACTACCAAACTTAAAAGATTTGTTTAATAGATGCTCCTTTTCTAATCAATGGTTGTGGCGATTATTCATTATCCAAAAAAGACTATAACACAGTCATATCACTATTTTTAGAGAAACTTACTGCTGCATATTAAAGTAAATTTGTTATTTGATGGATGATCTTTTTTTATGCGTATAAGTATAATTGTATTTCATCTATGATGAACGATAAATGTTAAATTTTTAATTTTTATATGTATCATATAATTAGCAATATAGTTTTCTTGATGTTTAATTTTTTTTTTACTTTTAATTCATGTTTTATCATGTGTGTTATAAAATTACACGATTTTTTTTTTATTATTACGTAGGGGCCATTTTCTATTGGGATTTTAAAATAATTATATTTTTACAAAAGTTGGCGCCTTTCCTGTAATGAGTCATTTTGTAAGAATACTATAACGTTTTTTTTTCAATTTCGAGCCTTAATATATGGATAGACCTTAAGTATCATATTGCATTTTTAGACACATCTACACTAACTACAAACCTTGCAAGAATGTTGTGTGAAACTCTTCGACGTTAGAAATGAATCTCATTTAAAATTGACTAAACTGATATTATTTTACTTTTGAACTATGATAATCATCCGACCTTACTTTTTCAAATTTTTTAGTGAGAGCATAGGAATCGTCCACAAATTACGTCACAAAGTTTTCGAACGTTTGTACTCCTCCCCCCTCGTAACAACATCCTAACTCTTTAGTAGCAATTTCCATATCAGCCGTCATAAAACCACAAACCCCTTTCCTCCTCCCTAAAGCGTGACGTAAGTTATGGACAACTCTTTACGAATTAGGTCTAATATTAACTAAAAATAGTTATGCGTGACATCTTGCCGTTCATTTTTTAAGTTTCGACTTGCAAACATATTTTAAGTTTCGATTTGCGTACCCAGTCAAGAATTTGATATCATATTGATATCATAATGATACCAAACTATGATATTTATGATATCATGATTTAAGACGTTTTTGATATCAATATGATATCAAAATGAAATCACTCGTTGATATCATTCTGAACTCAAGGTCTGATATCATAATATGAGATGTTTATGATATCAATATGATATCAAAATAAAATCACTCATTGATATCATGCTGAACTCAAGGCCGGATATCATTTTATGAGAAGTTTATGATACCGATATGATATCAAAATGAAATCACTCATTGATATCATTCTGAACTCGAAACCTGATATCATAATATGAGAAGTTTATGATATGAATTTGAATTCATTAAGGGTCTATATCTTCTTTATCTTATATAGTTATAAATAATATTTTTTAACTATTAAAACTAAATATATATTTATAAATAATATTTTGCAATTATTAAAACAAAATATATTTTTATAAATAATATTTTATAATTATTCAAACGAAACATATTTTTTTAGAAATAATAATTTATAATTATTTTAACTAAATATGTTTACAAATAACATTTTATAATTATTTAAACTAAATATATCTTTATAAACAATATTTTATAATAATTAAAACTAAATATATCTTTATAAACAATATTTTTTAATAATGAAAACTAAATATATCTTTATAAACAATATTTTATAATAATTAAAACTAAATGTTTTTTAATAAATAACATTTATAATTATTTAAATTAAGTATATTTTGATAAATAAAATTTTATAGTTATTTTAAAGTAAATATTTTTTATAATAAATAAACATAATCGATATCATATAAGTAAATATTTCAGTACCATGTATAACACAGTCAAAAAGTCGATATAATTTCTAAAAGTTTTATTTTAAATGCATAATACATAGCAAATAATCATGCGAAGACATAACAATAAGCAATATAAAAAATGTCACGAATTAGTCCATGGTCTTTCACAGTTTAAAATACATTTACAGATAAACAGGGATATGAACTCAGCTAATAGATCCCTTTAACTATACAATCCGCATTCAACAAATTTCGACTTGATTTAGTTGACCTGATTTCAAATCCATTATTTTAAATGCTGCATTTGCCTTCTTTTCAATCAATATTTAAATATTTTATTCTTCTGAAAATAATACAAACTGATAACAATAACGCAAGGTGAAAACAATGATACAAACTGAAAACAATGCAAGCTGGAAACAATGGTGTCAAAGCTAAACAATATATCAAATTATTAGCAACTAAAATATAATTAAAAAAAAATTTAATAAAACCATATAAGAATATATATTATCATTATTTTTACATATATTAATATTTAAATAAATTAAGAATGCTTATATATTTAAAAAAAACAGATTTTTATTGAAACATGAGTTTAAAAATATACTTTTTATTATGGGTCCTGTTCCGGGTGCAGTGCTGGTTGTTCACTATTTGAATAACTAAAAATTAAGGACACCAAATAATCAAAGAAAATGTATGAATTCTTTAAAAAGTTTTTAGTGTAATCACTTTTTTATAAAATTCTTCTTATTTTTAAATTATCAAATTTCATTATTTATATCTTACTACATTCTTTGTCACAATCTTCCAAATTTGGTGGAGTTCTTAACTTTTTTTACACGCCATTACACCAAATGTTAATAAAGCTAAACATCCACAAAACTTAGGTGCCATAAAATAATTTTAAATATCAGTCACTGTTAACTTTGACCAACCAATTTGCTAGATTTATTTGCTTGTACACAAAAGGTTTTTACTAGACACCAGTTTTCTATTGTTTAAACTATTTTAACAGGTGTTGCAACAAGTTAAGATACTTTTAGGATTCACCTAAACTGGATGAATTATTATTAATCACCCAGTTTAGGTATTATTAATTACACTTAATTTTAAATAACTTGACATGATATGATCAATTGTATTATTAAATTAACAAATAAAAAACATTCTTGGTGCATTTTAAATCACATAAATAGTGTCATTTAGACACCATTTAAGTTAAAATGATAAAAATAAAAATGATAAAACTTAACCTTAATGAAAATGTGTTCACAAACACATTTTCATTGAATTTGTTCTAGACTGTTATAAAATTGAATTTATTGTATATGACTACTTTACCTAACGTCAGTCATTGTTATCACTTTCTTTAAACTTACAAGTAGCATAAAGCATAGTAGCATAGTAACTAGAAATATCCTGCAATTAAAACCAAAATATTATTAAAATTGAAGTATTATTTTTTAAATATATGCAGATGAAAACATTAGAAATACTAAAGTTTGTATGTATGTATTATTTCATTCAAAACATTTCTCAAAATTTCATTCAAAATTTCATTCAAAACATTTCAAAGAACATAAAATTTGTAAAAAATAAATAACGTCTTCCAAAAAAAAAATCAAAAAAAACTATGAACAAGCGACACAATAACTGCTGATGAAGGCTTATCAGGCTCAAAAAGTGATAATGGTATTCTTATGGCCTTAGATAATAATTCATTAAAAGATATATTCAACATTTCTGTATGATGGTTATTCACCAGGTAAATACCCACACGTTTAGAATCACAAGGAGAACTGAAAAAATTTTGTGTTTTAGTATAGACTTGAATTAGTGCAGTTTTAGAATTTTTATTTATTAAGCTAATAACACAAAATCTTCCACTATTTAGACAATAGCATTCATTAGTCTTTGGATTAAAATTGCATTTTTTTTCAATTTCTGCTGGTGCTTTTTTTGCAGACTCGCTAATGATAACTTCTGTAAGTCGACGAGCAACCTGAGCTATTACTTGAGAAGGACCCCGTATCATTCTTTTAATAGCTGACATATTATTTTCAAACGAATAGGCTGTCACACCATCTAAACAACCATGTTTTTCTGCTGTAAAAGCTAAATGATTTAAACAATGAAAGTTGTACGTTAATAGGTGATCAGAGTAGAACACCCTGGTGTTGTTCACAAAGCAACAAAGAAGTTCATGAGCATAATCTTTATATTGAGCAACTAAAGCTTTGCTGTACAATATACGAAGACCTACACTTAAACTAAGAAAATGAGTGTATTTTTCTTTGCAAAGTATATATTTCAATACAACTGGCCCACAATATAAAAGAAAAGTCCTGAATTCAGAGGCTTTCCATAACTTAAGATCTTTCAGACTTCTTGGCTTACGATTGAACTCTATAGGAATGTATTCTTTTAAAGAACATAAGTAAAAATTTAGTAAATTAATTTGTCCAGATGACAATCGAAGAGGAATAGGTCCTTCTTTCCAGATTAAAAGTAATTTTTTAGTGCAACCAAGATCCACACAATGCATTACGTCGGGAGGGAACTGCTGCACCATATCTACTTCAAGTAATTCCAAGACACTGATGTACTTGTGATGTTTTTTCTGAGTTTTTTCTCTAAATGTTTTATCGGTACGTTGAGTACCAGTGCACAAAAACATCATTCGACCATCATAGGTTCCTTCCACATCACAATAATCGCATCCATAACGACCATTATAATGGACAGTGCCTTTAATTAGAGCTTTTGCTGGTGCATCACAAATAAAATATTTTGTCTTAACCTGTATTATTTTTCCATTATTATCTATAATACCGTTTGCCATAAGGTTTTTTAACTCTATCGTGAAGTCTTCCAAGAATTCTAAACTATCAGGCTTCTGTAAACCACAAAACAACGCTACAACAAATGGACTGGGTTTATCAATATTGTCAACACGACACTGAATTGGCCAGAGAGTCATATTAGTACTTTTATGGATTGGCAGGCCATCAATGTTGAATACTAACTCTACAAAGTCTAAATTATTGGTAACAATAGATCTCAAAACACCATCTTTTATCCCAAAGTAGGTATATTCACCACCTAAACCAATAAAAAGGTAATATGTATGATCTTTATTTTTAATAGCAAATAAGTAAAAATAACAAACCTGCAAAAAATATATATAAAAAATAAAGTATTTAAAGCAAAAATTTAAACTTAAATTAGAATTTTGAAAATAAAATATCTTGAATATTTACAAACCTGACTTTTTAGTAATATCTGATTTGCGAGGGTTTTTTAATAGCGTGGTAGCTTGTGTTGGAATATCTAAACATTGGTGATTACGTAAAATTTTTAACAATGCAGTTACGGTTGTTAAAGGCACTGAACATTTAACAGCCCATTGGGCAAGGTCTTCTCTAAGTGTTGGTAAAATATCTACACTACTTTCATCATTACTGCTTTTACTATCGCTGATAAGTTTAAAAAGTCTTTCAGCTGAATTGATGGATTTCCCTTCTATTAAGTTCACTCTGTCTAAACAGCTAAAATCCAGAATACTTTCAAATTCTTCATATGAAGATAAACAATCACTTCTTGATGAAACACAGGAGTTTTCATTGTAAAGTTCATATGAATTTGGATATATAAGCTCGCTAACTGATGAGTTTTTCTTTAAGCAATCAGAGCTATCAACTTCAACATTTTCAACATATTTACTTGGGACATTAACTAAATGCGCTAATTTAATTGTCTTTCTTCGAGCATATTGCTGAATTAATTGCGTTCTCTTTCTACTTTGGGAACTCATTTTATTTATGTAAAAAAAATGACTAAAAATATATAAAAAGTTAGAGAAACACACGCAAACACACACACATAAATATATATATACATACATATATATATACAGGGGCTATTCTAGACCGTTTTCGACAGCGCTGACCGTATTTGGGCGCCGCCCAAATTAAAAAGTAAGGACCTTTTTTTTTTTTTTTTTTTTTTTTTACAAAAACCTTGCTTAAAAAAAAAACAGCGTTTTTTGGCAAATCTTGTATATTTCAAGGGAAATATTGTTGCGGCAAGTGTTGGTCCGGGGGTACCGCCGCCCAAATTTTCCTAGAATAGCCCCTGATATATATATATATATATATATATATATATATAATATATATATATATATATATATATATATATATATATATATATATATATATATATATATATATATACATATATTATTATAAGGCCTTGTTTTAAAGCATTAAGCATTAAGCTATTTGCGTACTTCTTAAGCAATTTTAAGCAGTAAGCAATTTCAGTTAAGCAATTTTTTTTTTAAATTATTCTAATTATATTAATAGAAGAACAAAAATTGCTTGACCTCAAAAAAAGGTTGAGAAAAGAAGACAAAAAAAAAAAAAAGCTCTATGCTTAATGCTCAAAACAAGGCCTGTATTATTATTATTATTATTATTATTATTATTATTAAATAAAGATAAGTTCAATTGCATTTATTAGTTGAATTTAAATAAGTTAATTTTTCTCAAACATAAAAGATTATATATATATATATATATATATATATATATATATATATATATATATATATATATATATATATATATATATACACATATATACACATATATATATATATACATATTTCTTTATAAATATTCATGTATATATATATATATATATATATATATATATATATATATATATATATATATATATATATATACACATATATATATGTATATATATTTATATATATATATATATATTTATAAAGAGTATTAACTTGCCACATTTTTTTTTTGAGGACAATTTCTATAGAATTCTCGATAATCGGCAGAACAACAACAAATAATATTCCTAATTCCGCAAAAACACAGTATATATATATATATATATATATATATATATATATATATATATATATATATATATATATATATATATATATATATATATATATATATATATATATATATATATATATATATATAGAGAGAGAGAGAGAGAGAGAGAGAAGATATTATGTTTGTTAATTACAAATATTCAAATCAATAATAAGTAAGGTCAGCTTATATAGCCCGACAATATATGATCATTGGTACCGGATCCATTCAAGACAAGCTGATCTTTAAGTTTTGCTTTAATTCGGCAATTTGAATTTGATAAATAAACTTCAATCTGTTTTTCAGTCTCTTTTTTTATTGTAGTTTCTACCTCTTCTTTACCACGCACTATAGTGATGTGTTCTGTCTGATAAAAAGACTTAATAGTTGCTGAAATAAATTTTAATTAACTAAAATTATATACCAAAGTCTATGACTCATCCTTAGTTATAAAAAGATGACAAAACTTTATAGAAACTTACAATAAATACATCTTTCAAATATAGATGGCAGTTTTTGTTGGCCCCTGGATCCTGTACGATTAAAAGAGGTCATCAGATTATCTGATAAAGTCGCCTTTAATATTGATCTGGCACAACCACTAATGGACTTTTGACCGTAGTTTGTGATCATAAACTTTATCTGAAAAAAAATATTAAAAAAAATTGTAAACAAATTTATTTCAGTCAAAAAAAAAAGTTTTGAGCTGTTTACAACTACAATGTACTGGAAGAGTTTTCATGTTATTTAAATAGTAATTGTGAAGTATTTTTTTGAAATTAAATTGTAAATAATTCAACTCAACCTACCACTACTTTTCTAAACACAGAATCGTCTTCAAGATTTTTACAAAAATTTTGGAAATCTTCGCTTTTTTGGTATTGCTCCATTACAAACAACTGCTCTTGATTCCCACCTGGTATACTACCTCCTAGCAACACTTTAATTTTGACCAAATCATCTTCCATTCGACAAACTCTAGTAGTTAATTCTTTTATGTTTTGGTACGACTGGAGAGCAATAACTAAAACAATACCATAAACAGTGATAAAATTATAAAAAATAAATATAATGAAATTGTGTATTTTTTTTTAATTGCTAGAAAAAAAATTATTTTCAATGCAAACCCACTATTTCAAAAAATATATATTTTTTGCTGGATTTTTTTAGCTCTAAAAAAGTTGATGCGCCATAATACAAATGTCAAGAGAAAAATGTTAAAATATGTAGCTTTTAAACAAAAAATTTGTTTTTCAATTATTTTTATAATTATTATTTTAATTAAATTAAGCTTCTTTTTGAAACCAAGCTTGACTAAATAAAAAAAAAAAAAAAATAGTTAACATAGTAAAATAGGGTAAAATGAAATAGTTATGACAATGTTTATTTTTTCGCTCTTAATTATTGGATAATTTTTTGGCCAATAATTTTTGATTATTTTGTAGAGACATTTTTCAGAGTAAGATTATATAAAATTTTTAAAAGCGGCTTTTAATGATTAATTAAGTCTCAAGCGATCGATCAATCTATATAAATAGATATAAATTGATAATAAATCAATCATTATTAAATCTATTATAAAATGAAATGAAATTAATGAATTTTTTTTTGTTAATTTGTTTTTTAATTGTAAGTATTAATTGTTTTTTAAATTTCAACGCAGAATGGAATAATTTTTTTTAAAATCAAATAAAGTTTTATCAAAAACTTAAAAACAAAAAATTATTTGATTTTTATGTATTTAAATACAGCTCAAAACATTACAAAATATTAACAAAATATTATCTTTAATTTAAAAAAATTAAATAATTTTCTCGTAAAAAACAAATAACTAAAATCCTTAACTATTTCATTTGACCCTATTTTACTCTAATAGGGAACATCAAGTTTTTCAGAGGTAATTGTAGCTAAAATTGTGTAACTATATAACATAAACAACCTTTTTAAAGTTCTCAAAGGTAATTCGCACCTATTATAAATAGTATGAAAAATCCACAACTCTTACCTAAAAAAAGTACTTGTAACACTCCATTATGGTCTGAAGTCCTAACAAACTCGCTATACTCCCTTATGTATAGATATTTTGCTTTACTCACACTAAAATATCTGAGTTTACAAAGCCAAGAATCAAAACAAGAATAAAAACTCAATTTTGAAAATAAAATAAAACTTAGTTAAATTTTTTTTACTCTAGAAAATGGTAATATAAGGTAATTATAAACACACACAAAAAGAATAAAGGAAAACTGAGACTAGACTTTATTCGTACCTAAATTTAATAATATAAAAAATAGATCAAGATAATACAAAACTAAAAAAAAAAGAAAACAAATGGAAAAACACAAAAATAATAATAACATTGCACAAACCATGTATTTTCTTTAATTGTATCTGTAGAGAATCACTATCATTCACACACGTGTCATTTACATCTAGGTCATCTTGGTAAGCTAGTTCAGACAACTCAAAGTTGGTCAATTCCAAACTCCGGTCTAAACAAAAACAATTGTATAATTTTATTTTTATTAAACTACACAATTGGAAATAAAATTATAAAGTTATAGAAAAGGTGTAATCGTAATAATTTTTTACCACAGATATAGTATTAGCAAAAAATGTTTTCAAAAATAAAATTATACAAAATTTGAATTGCTAAATTTTTACAATGGTGGATTACTTGATAGATTAAAATTGACTCTAACCTTCACTACCTGGCTGCACGACAGCACTTGATACTTGATTTGTACAAGATGAGATGATTTCTTTTTCATTAACTCTCAGTGTACTCATTGTATGCTGATTTTCTAGCAATAGTAATTTATAAAATTTTTCTTGTCTAATATAATTTAACTATATCTTGTATGGAAACCTTTTTAATATAATATAATATATATATATATATATATATATATATATATATATATATATATATTTTAATAAGGTATTTTTCTAAATAGTGAAACAATAAATGTTAATATTAATACTAGGCATGATAGGAAGTGATCTCAACATTATCTGTGACTTCTTGCTGTAATCTGAGTGCCCACCTAGAAAAATAAATATTCAATAAATTGAAATTCCTTTTGCCGACTGATTTAATGACTGAAAACATGCCTTATTAGAGTAGATTAAGTTTAACTTAAAATTGTGCAAAGGTATTAACACAACACCCACCTTGATTTGATTTGCACCTTTTTTGTTTTTTTTGTACAGTTAGAATAATTTTTTAATAATTACAAGGGATACAATTGCTACTGATGAAAAGCTTAGTACTTGATTAAAAAAACATTAAATTTACTTTTTTGGTTTAAAATTTAGCTTTGATGAATATTAAATTTTACGCGCAAGTAAAAAATATGTATACAAAAAATAGAAATTGCTTGAAAAATCTTACTATCATCACTTTCACTGCAATCTTTATCAGCAGAACAACTACTTTTTGTTTTAGAACCGCTATATTTCATTGCTTTCATTCCACATATTTCATCACTGTCATCCAAATTAGGTAATGTTCTTAACCTTTTTTTATAAGGCGTGGCACTAAGTGGCGTTGAGGATGAAGAGGTATAGCCTTTAGGTCTTATAAAAGAGTTTTCAACATCACTCATTATTACTCCTGATCCATCAGATTTTCCTGATTGATCTTCTTGTATTCTTTCTGCTTCATTAAAAGTATCTAAGAAATCATAGTTTTATAATAAAAATAAAAATTAAATTGAGTAAAGAAACAAATAATTCTAATTTGAAATTGATTTCTTATCGTAAATTATATATTATCTTATCGTAAATTTTTATATTAAAAAGAAAACACAACAAATCAAAGTTGTTTAAACCTGTTTTTGCGTAAAATGCTGTAATGCTGTATTCTCTCCAGTTTGGATTAACTATACTATAGCTCTTTGTTTTTTCCAAAGAGGAAGTCCATCTACATTTCCATAATCCACTAACTTTATATACCCATGGTCTTGGAATAATGACAATGTGTCCAGTGTCAAGAGCACAAACAACAAACTTATATATATATATTTTATATATATATATATATATATATATATATATATATATATATATATATATATATATATATATATATATATATATTTATATATATATATATATATATATATATATATATATATTATATGTATATATATATACATATATATACATATTATATATATTGTATATATATATATATATATATATATATATATATATATATATATATATATATATATATATATATAAATATATATATATATATAAATATATATATATATTTTTATATATATTATATATGTATATATATATATATATATATATATACATATATATATATATATATATATATATATATATATATATATATATATATATATATATATATATATATATATATATATATATATATATATTAATTTAATACTTATTTAATTAATTTATTTAATATATATTTAATTTATATAAATAAACATTAAATGTATATACTACCTACAATTGCCAATTGTAGGTAGTATATACATTTAATGTTTATACTACCTACCTATAATTATTATACTACCTACAATTGCCAATTGTAGGTAGTATATACATTTAATGTTTATTTATATAAATTAAATATATATTAAATAAATAAATTAAATAAATATTAAATTAATATATATATATATATATATATATATATATATATATATATATATATATATATATATATATATATATATATATATATATATATATATGTATATATATATATATATATATATATATATAAATATATATATTTATATATATATATATATATATATAATATATATATAATATATATATATATGTAATATATATAATATATATATATACCAATTGAATTGGTAGTGTGTATATATATACTACCTACAAATAAAGATATATATACAAATAATATATGATATGTATTATACATATCTTTTTATCATGCTATTTCGTGTTATTTAACTATAACATTAATAGCATAAGGTAAATCTATGTTTGAAAACGTTTTCAAACTATATAATATAGTTTGAAAACGTTTTATAAATTTATATTAGTATAGTATTAAAGCATAAATTTAAATAAGATTTAAAGCATCGTTAGCAATTTAATGCATCATTAGCAACAAAACTGTTGCATTTCTTGCCATATAATTGTTTTATTTTTTCCAAAACATATCAAGTATCAAAACATCAAATCTATTGAAAAATTATATCATATTTGCTGATTGAGTCAGCAATCAGAAAATTTGAATCAGTGATTTAAATTTTTGCAATAGTGATTATCAAAATAATGTTAATAATTGCAGCTTTCGATAACGTACGTAAGGTAGCACACCTTTCGATTATTATTTGTACTAATTTAAATGTAATTTAGTTTTTTCAATAAAACGAATTTAACGTTTCAATTATTTGGCCTTCTTACCACTTTTTTAACTTTTTCGCTTTTTGAATATCTTTCAGCCATCTTGAAAAAAATATTTAACTCGTGCATATACTCCGTAAACCTATTCCGCAAATTAAGCAACTTTTATTTTATATCATAGCAAAACAAGTTTTTGATATTATAAAAATATCATGATATGAGTTCAAAAAATCAAAACATGTTATTTGGACATTAAATGAGAAAAAAATAACTTTTATAGTGTTTAATAACTAGGTTATAAAATACATCTATAAATTTAGTTCATTTTCCAAAGTTATGATATCACAATGATATCATGTTGATATCATTATTTGATATCAAAGTTTGAGAAAGTTTTGATATCATTTTGATATCACGTTGATATCGCTTCTTGACTGGGTATATTCCTTCAAGAGAAAGACCAAACTGTTTAATTTTTTTAACGCATCTTTTGACAATAAACGGAATGGTATTACAATCGTCAATTAAAGTTTGCGCAATGTTAAAACCGAAAACACCTCTTAAACGTTTTGACGGTGCGCGATTTATAAAGTTGTTAACTGCAATCTATTTTTTTTTTTGTTGTTCTTTTTGTTTATTCAAAATAAGTTTTACAATATAAGAATGAATAAGATTCATAAAAAACATATAGTAAAAGTTACAAACTTTGTCAGCGTTAACATAAGAAGAACGCGGATACTCGCAGAAGATCATAGGATCTTGTCATCGAGAACCGCCTAAACAGATTTTAAATAAAAATAATCCTCTAATAATTCATATATAAATATTCACACTTAAATAAAAATATAATTTTTTACACATTTAATTCTATAAAAACATACAATTATATATACTTACACATACACGCATACCCACATACACATATACATACATACACATACACTTACACACACACACACACACACACACACACACATATATATATATATATATATATATATATATATATATATATATATATATATATATATATATATATATATATATATATATATATATATATACATACACACATATATACACATATATATACACACACATGATATACATATACATATATATACATAAACACACACAATATACATGCACATACATATATATATATATATATATATATATATATATATATATATATATATATATATAAGTTAAGAAAAAAGATTTCATATATATAAATTATGATAAAAAGATTTCTTAAGAGTATTAATATAAAACAAAACAAACTTAAAAATATATAAGAATATTTTCAATTGAGAAAAGAATTTTTTTCAACTTTCTTTTAAATAAGAGAATGCTCTTGAGAAAAATCAAAAAGTTTTAATACTACTTTGTTCCATAAAAATGCTTCTCTAAATGAAATGCAAAACTTACCAAAATTAGTTTTGAAAACTGGTTGAAGAATAAAGTTTTCATTACGCAAATTGTATTTATTTTCAAGTTTTAAAGAATATAAATTGTGAAAAGAAATTGGAGATGTGGGTGTTTTACATTTAAACATAAAACACAATACATTAAAAATATTAAGTTGATATATATTAAGAATATTCAATTCGTTTAAAAGAAGCTTAGCATGATAAAAACGATTTTTAAAATTAATAAGTAGTGCAACATGTTTCTGTTGGCGATAAAGTGGTTCTAATTTAGTTTTGCTAACACTACCCAAGCCGCATCAGCATAGTTTAGATGGCAATGAATAAAAGAGTGGTATAACTGAACTAAAGTATGTCTATTTAGCATGTTTTTTATTTTGAATAGTATTCCTTTACTTTTGGAAATTTTAGATGATAAGTTTTCAATGTGTTTTTTCCATGTTAGATTTTCATCAATAAAAACTCCTAAAAAATTTGTAGCCGTTACTCTTTTAATTTGCATGTCATCTATAGAAAGAGCAGGCAATTCACTCGGTAGAAGATACTTTTTGTAGCATGGATGAAAAAGAGACCATTTTGTTTTTTCAATATTAAGAGAAAGCTTATTTAATTTAAACCATTCAGAAATTTTAATTAGTTCTATGTTCATACTTTGAAATAGTGTCGCTATGTTGCTATGAGATAAAAAAAGTTCGTGTCGTCAGCAAACATAATTGTCATTAAATTAGATGCTTCATAGAGATCGTTTATGTATATGAGAAATAGTAGTGGTCCTAGGACAGACCCTTGGGGAACTTCACATGTTATATCTAACAATTTTGATTTCGATGATACGTCATAGTTAACAAATTGCTTTCTATTGCTTAAATATCTTTTTAAAAGCTTCAAAACATTGCCAGAGATTCCATAATATTTAAGTTTTTTAAATAGAATTTTATGATCAATCGTATCGAAGGCTTTAGAAAAGTCAATAAAAATGCCTTAAGTAAACTTGGAATTTTCAAATGATTTAGTAATATATTGTGTTAATTAAAGTATAGCGTGTTCAGTGGAGTTATTTTTTTTAAATCCATATTGATTTTTGTATAGGATATTATTTTGAGAAAGATGATTCAAAATTTTATTATAAAGAATTCTCTCTATAATTTTTGAGAAAACAGAGAGAACAGATATTGGACGGTAATTACTAACATTAACCCAGTGGGCACCCGACGTCAATCCGACGTCGGATTTACGTTTGATTTTCATCAGCGATGTCAAAAGACCTACTCCGACGTTGTTCCGATGTCAGTAAAATGACGTCGGGCGATGTCTTTATCTCAACATCCCCTGACGTCGTTTCGATGTATTTTGACGTTGTTCCGACATCTTATAAAAGACGTCCAAAAAACGTCGCAGTACTGACATCGATCCAACGTCGATAAAAAGACGTCGGGCAACGTCATAATATTAACGTACTTCGATGTCTTTTGACGTCTTCCGACGTCAATCCAACGTCCTTAAAACGACGTCGGAACAACGTCGTAAGACATCGCTGATGAAAATTTAATCCAAACCCAACAATATGTGTGCAATTGCGCTCTTCAATAATTATGTGAACTAAGCGTGTTTTTTTATTAATGGAAAAAAGTTTGAATAAAGGTTGATAAAACATCATGAGGTTTTGTATGATGCACTAGCATAGTTTTTTAACTATTAACATTTTCGAGTATACATTTTTTATAATATATAACTATTCGTTTTAATATTTATATAATATTTAAACAAAATTATTTCTTATCAAAGTAATAATTCCCAAATAGCTACAAGTATAAATTACTAAATAAACTCAACAATTAATATGTCCTTGTGGTGTAGTGGTAAGCGCATATGATGTAGAAACTAATAGACCGAGGTTCGATTCCTGTCAAAGGCAGCGTTTTTTAGTTTTCAAAAAACACGTTGGATTTACATCGGAATGCCGACGTCGCGCGATGTCAGTTTATCCGACGTCAAATAACATTTCCATTTCCAACGTAAACCCAACGTCGATCCGACGTCGAGATCCGACGTCGCTCGACGTTCGTTCGACGTCGAAATGCCCACTGGGAAGTAAGTCTCCACCTTTAAATATTGGTGAAACTCTAGCTATTTTTAATTCATCAGGAAAAATTCCTTGTTGAATTGAACATTTAAATATTTTAAAAAGGATATTTTTTATGATATCATAGGAATAAATAAAAATGTTTCCATTGATATCATCAGGACCGACTGCTTTATTTTGCTTTAGCATTTTAAAAGCTCTATCAAATTCATCAAAAAACAATTCAAAAGAATTTAGACAAGATACTAAAGGAAAACTACATCTGTTTATTATTTTATTTATATTAAAAATTTTCTTTGCTAAATTTGGTCCAACTGAAGTAAAGAATTCATTCATTTTATTTGCTACCTCTCTCGGATTATAAAATATTTTATTATCAATTTTAATAGCTCTAGGTAGAGAGCTAGCTATCAAATTTTTTGGATTTCAAATTTTTTAGCGTAATTCTTATAAATTGTCTTACTTTCTAATGTTCTCGTTTTTAAATACTTTATATACAACTTTTGCTTAACTTTAGAACTTTTTCTGAGATCTTTTGTAATCCATGGTGACTTGAAATCTTTATTTTTTTTTAGTATTTTATGTTAAGGAAAACTAATATCATAAATTTCAAAAAATGTTTATAAAAACGAATTATAGGCTAAATTAGCATCATTAGAATCTATGTGTTTCCAATGAAGTAAAGATAATTGTTCCTTAAAAGCAATGCAATTCGCTTCCGCAAAAAAACGTTTAATGAAAGGTTTATTTTGGTGTAGAATTTTTCGGTCTGTGTGTGTCTGTGGAGAAAAAAATAGGAAAGTGATCAGAGACGTCACTTTTAATAATACCTTTTTTTAAAGATAAGTTAAAAACGTCAGTTGTAATTATTTTATCTAATATAGATGATGATGTTGATGATATTCTGGTAGGCTTATTTATTAACGGTATCGCTCCAATTTCAAAAATGCCATTGTAAAATTTTTTTAAGTTATTATTAGTATGGTATTCAAAGCAATTTAAATTAAAATCACCAATTATGTAGTTTAATTTCCTTTCGTGGATACTTTTTTTAATTATATTATTATGCATTAAAATTCTCAACTACGCCATTTGGTAGGCGATAACAACAACTTAAAATTATATTTTTGGTATTTTTAGTTGAAATTTCAATACTTAAAACCTCTTTGTCGCCATCAGAAATACTTAGGTCTGGCCTCTTAATAAACCGGAAGCAAGAAAATCTTTCAATTCATTGTTATAAAAATAATAGCAGTTTTTCAGAGCACCTGCTTCACTAAAATAATTTATGTCATTATCAAGGAAAAAATCATTAGTTTGAAAAAAATTAAATGAACTTGACTCAAAACTATTTTTTTGGTTTGAATCCATTTTAGAATTTAGAATTTAAATAATTTTATAACTATGAAATGAAAATAAAGTTTACTTAAAATCGCGTGTGAATAATTTATTATAAGTAACCTTAGCATACTTTCCTTTACTTCATAGCTCTTTTGCTTCCGCGAATAACTTTCTTCTTATTTCCATAGTACGTTCACTAAAATCTTCATTTGTAAACACATTTTCTTTCCAGAGTTTAGGCTTTACGAACTTTTCCAAAATCGCGTTCTTGTCTTTAAAGCTTAAAAATTTTACAACAATAGTTCTATTTTTTC